TTTCTTCTTTATATATGTTTAACTAACACATTTTGAAGAAACAATTTCCAATGCTTTTCTAGTTTACATTCATTTATTGACTAATAACCCTGAAAATGAAATCTTTTAAAACTTTAACATAAATGCCTCTTTCGAACCTATAAATATATTGAATGAATGTATTGGAACAAAGTAAAGAATCAAAATAAAACTTTAACATTTCAATGGTTAAAATACAAACTAAATTTTTTACTGTCCCAATTTCAAGGGCCTTTCCAGTTAAAGAATGCCATACCCGATTCACAACCGTACCCTGAAAAAATTAATCATATCGATCATGTAGAAGATATCTGCTTATTTCTAGCGTGGAAAATGTTTTATTTAGACAATATCCTCCAATGTATCTAAATCTTCTAAAGCAGAAATGCGCAAGTCACTTTATAGAGAAACCACAACTTAAAATAAATATTTTTTAAACAGAAGATAATGGAGAACTCGTGCTATCTTGATCACACAGAGTTTTGAATATGCAAGCCTAGAGCTAAAGTCTCTTTAAATAAATGAAAAATAATTCCCTCGGAAGTTAAACCAGTAAAATAGATTTAAGCTGTATTAAAAATAGAATAACACTAAAAGTAATTTACACATCGAAACTTTACTGAATTAATGCACATGTCCGACTATATAGTAAATTAGAAAAAGGAAATGTTACACTAGTGGACCAAGGACTGTAGATCCATGAGTAGGATAGCTGTACACCTGGCAATAAACAGAAAAGAAAAGCTCTTTAATTTTGTTTTCTTTTTAAATTATATTCCCAAAGTTCCAAAGATGAGGGGAAGGGAGGGGGGGGGGGGGGTAAGTTCCCTCAATAAATCCCCTTTCCTTATGCAACCTAACTGTAAGATAACTTAAGGGTGTAATGCAAGGAAGCGATCGTGTATACTCTGCGTACATATTGAAACCAGTTCTCTCTGGGTGGAATTTGTAAACAAGAATAGATGCATCAGTGTTCGTTTAGTATCCGAGGAGGTTAAAAGCATAAAATTTGATAATTTTGATAATTCACATAATAGTTTCCTATGACCAGAATATTTCATTGATTTTTTTATGTGAAAGATGGATCCCATGTCAGGCTGTAACATCCGTCTACACTGCAGTACAAAAGATGCGTACACTTCTGAAATAACTTTCCTTGCATTACATCCTTGCGATAACTAATCTCTTTATTTATGTAAACCAGTACGTCTTATAAATAAAAATCTTTGATTAAATCAAAAATGTCAACTATTTTCAGAATGGAGATGAAGGATGCTTGAATAACCCACCGAAGTTTCTCGCCTGAAAGAATTTAGCCCAAGTACTCTGCAATTAGTGAAACTTGCAAAAGAAAACTCTTCTGTAGCAAAGTTTGTTGGGAAAAAGTGCGGGATGAGTATTCAAGAATGTTATTCTACTTTTAGAGATTCCTAAACACTTTCAAACTTTATCAGAACAAGTGATCTTTACATTGTACTCTCTCCAGTTTGAATAATGTACGTGACATGTTGCAGGGAAAAAAGGAAAAAAATACTAAACTGGGAAATAAAGTGAAAAAAACGTTAAAATACAGTTTTCACTCTGGATTCAGAGTTTGTCAAAATCTTGTGAAAAAGAATATAGTGTGATCGCTGATCAGGTAATACTTAAATTTAAGCCTGGGAAGGGGGGGGGGGGGCACACATTAAAAACACAACAGATTGAATCGAATTTAAGAAATAAACTATTCCCTAGGCTTCTAGATTGTTTTTATGTACATAATGAAATCTTGACAAATGTTTGCATATCTCCGTCAAATGCATGATAAGATACAAAAATGGCAGAAACGTTTTCTAAATCACTGGAGTAAGATTAAGTTAATTTTAATAAAGAATTGTGAAGTGTGAAGTACATATATAAGTACATATATACTTCGTCCATATTTCTTATATCTGAACTTGTTTATTGACCACCATTAACTCTAATTGAAATCAATTAAGAAAAAAATATGTGCCAATAGAGGTCAGTTTAAAAGTCGTATTCAAATCCGATGTTTTTTGAGACATACTTTGATTTTGAAGCATATATAATAACCATGTTCATAAAAGACAGGATTATTTAAAACTAACTTTTTTATTATTTTTTTCCACGAACATACTAATAGCATCTAAATAGATCACAGAATAACAACAACAAAAATCTGGTAGAATTAGTTCGCATTCACTCCAAACTAAAAAAAGGTCAAAGGAGAATCTATGGGACTTAACTGGGGCGAATTTCTGACCTCGAAAAAAAATTTCTCCAGTTACAGATTTGGAATTTAAAACATATTTTTCTTTTCATTAGCCGGAGTTATGATTGAAAACAAATAAGATTTCCGATTTTCTTTGTGTGCATTTAAAGTATTATAATAAATGTCTTGCGTGTAACGGTGTAAGAGAAGAATTAAAAAAAGAAGAAAATAATATTGCAGAATCTCTTATTAATATAATAAAGCTCTTTGCTCATATATATTGGCTGACATTTTTTTATGAAACCCATGGGAACCACAAAATGCCTTATTTTTTCAAAATTAGATTTTTTAATTACATGGTCAACGCCGGGCACTTCAGCTATAGCGTACATATATATATTCATATAGGGGAAATTATTAGTGCAAAATCTCTTATAATTATTATATCTAGATGAATCTGGATATGTCTGGATTGTTCCACGTATGCCAGGGAACCTGCCTGTGTGCCAGCTCTTCTAGCGAGGGATATGGTAAAGGAAAGGTTCTCTACTGCTATGGAGAGGTAAATTTTTAATGGAATTTTTCACCAGTTTTAAAATCATTTTCTTGACTTAATAAATCTGGAAAATGTTTCTCGTAAAAGCTTTGTTTGATAAAGTAAATAGCAGATTTCCATGCGGTTTTGAAAACTGTAAATTTTCATTCGTGGTTTTTTCAATGCAAAGACGACTTAAGCATTTCTTGCTTCAGAAGTAAAACAAAAATTAACAGAATTAATCATTTGTCAAGCCAGAAAAACGACGATATCTCACTCATTATTAATCGGATTAAGGTTTCAAGGGTACAGTTGTGTATCGGACATGCTGTTTCTATATAAGGGTCACTAAGAATTAGGACGATAGCTCTTTTAAACTACTTCTAAAACAATTTAATACTCAAAATACCCCTTTACAAGATTTGGAAACTTATATAACTAAAACAATGTAAGACGTTAAGATTTCATGAATTAATAATCACCTAAAATTGTATAAATTGTGATAAAAAACACACAATTGACTTTTAAACATCAGGTAGTTGGTTGCCCATATCATATCTCTCCTCATCTTGGTGTAGTTGGTTGCCCATATCATATCTCTCCTCATCTTGGTGTAGTTGGTTGCCCATATCATATCTCTCCTCATCTTGGTGTAGTTGGTACTTTCTGTTTTCCTGACTAAATTCCAGGATTTTTTTATTTCCGCCATTTTTTTTCGTTCCTAGTTTTGTAGAAATTTGCTTGTCAATTTTTTTTAGAATGGAAATAAAAACTTAAATATATAGTTAAGGGAAAAACCGAATTAATTGTAAACTCTCTTAAAATATTTGTCTTTTGTTTTATTTTCAAGTCCCAACACCCTTCTACATAAATTCCCCTATCTCACTTCCCCCCACCCCCCTGCTTTTGGTATTTTTTAAAGAAATCTGCAAATTAATATATTTATCTCGAGCTAAATATGTGTGTTGATATTAAAACTGATATGATAACTGATATCAATCAATTCTGAAGTGTAGGGTACATCATTTCTTACTTTTTCCATAAACTGTTAAAAGATATTAACTTTGATATTTGGATCGTAAAATCAAATTTACGACCATTTCACTCAAAATTACGAACATTTCATTCCAAAAAACGAACATTTCATTCGATATTACATACAGAAAGTCAGGGAGGTAAAACTGTATGAGATATTTTAAACATTCTGTTCGCAATTTCGAAGAAAATGCGTTTGAGTGTTCTTAGTTTATCAACAAATATGAGAGTTTGATCCAAATTTTAGATATTTAAATTTTGCCATTTATTTATAACAATTAGGAAATTTAAAGGTTTATATGATTCACTACTGTCCTGTAAACCGTTGTACGTCTGAGCGTGGGTGAGATATCACTAATTTTCAACAGCAACCTTAAAATGTTTGCATCAGAGACAAATATTTTCAGAATTAATCTCGAAATAATCAAAACATTTCAGATATTAACGTTCACAAAATGTCGTCATTTTTTCATGTTATACCCTAAATTACTGATACAGAGATCAATTGACGAATGTGAAATGCTGTTTTTATTTGTTTCATTTCATGCAAGAACATGTTTAATTATATTTTTGTTTTCTCAAAATATTTCTTAAATTTTTTCTCTTGATCTTCGGACTTCGGAACATAAACTTAAATTCTTATTCCCTTGTGTATTTAGCATAATTTAGGTGCAATACTGAGTGTAAAATAAAAAAATAAAACCATCGATTTCTTGTGTGTTCATACAGCATTGTTGTTACAAAAATATTTTGTAAGTACGAAATTTTTCTCGTGGTTTTTTTACAAAATAATTTAAGATATTTTATCCCAAGATGGTTTCATACAATTCTAAATTGACAGTAACCAGACATTAGGCCCCGGGAACTATCTTCATTTTATCTTTTCTTTATTTGAAATATTCGATTATATAGACAATGTTGGAAAAAAGGAAGGATCAGAGAAGTTCAGGAAAGAAAAGAAGGAACAGAAGGAACAGAAAGAACAGAAGGGACAGAAGGAAAGACGGAAAAGAAGAAACAGAAGGAACAGACGGAACAGAAAGAACAGAAGAAACAGAAGGAACAGAAGGAACAGAAGGAACAGAAGGAACAGAAGAAACAGAAGGAACAGAAGAAACAGAAGAAACAGAAAGAACAGAAGGGACAGAAGGAAAGACAGAAAAGAAGAAACAGAAGGAACAGAAGGAACAGAAAGAACAGAAGAAACAGAAGGAAGAGAAGGAATTGAAGGAAGATTAAAAACAACATGAAATAAAAATAAAATCATAAATTCTTTTTTTAGGTTGTTTTACAGCGAGCTAATCTACGAAGCGGAGGGGAGGAAGGAGAGGAAAACTCTGAAGAACTTTATACTTTTCAAATAATCCAGCTCATCAGTATTGTCGTCCTCCTCCTAGCACTGTAAGTATAAACTTAATCTATGCAGGTGGCATGGTTTTATAAAGAATCTTTGAACTTTTAATGAATTTAAAGATAATCTATAAAAGCAGTAAATATTCAAATATTAAGATTTAACATTTTAAGTTAAGATTTTCCCAATAAAAGTCAGCCCACTCAACTTTAAATTTTCCAACCCAACTAAGAACATTCCAATGATTCTACCGAGTTCCCCAATCAAAATTTGAGGCAAATCAGTCAAGGGGATTATGAGTTGTGATCTTTTGGAAGGATTTACATTATTCAAAAATAGTTTCGCAAAAGCCTTGTTTTGGAGAAGTAATGAACGATTTTATATATTTTTTGGGAGGATTTTTTAAGGAAATGAACGAAATGAACGAAAAAAAAGCAGTATTATTCTCGTTTGACAATTTTAGTTCTTATTAAATAAATTAATAATCCTTCACATAAAAATTTGTCAAGTTTGTATTGCTATTTATTTTTGAATTTGAAACCTGATAAAGGGATTAAAAACGTGATTTATATAATGGATTATAGATTCACATCGGTTCCCTAAAAACCTTTTTTTTGAACATGGAACCCAAATCGGCTTGTTTTGGACTAAAAGGAATAAATTTCCGATTAAATTATTTATGCCTTTAAAGAAAAACGAAAAAATAATTCCCAGAGATTAATCAAGGCTAAACGGATATAGATTTTAAAATACAATCGAGTATATGCTAATTTGCCATTTAAAGAATGGAAATTTTATCTCGTTTTAGAAAAAAGTATTGATTTTTTTGTAATTTTAATACCGTTACGATTTATTAGTGGTTTAAATTTCTAAATAAACGGTTAAATTGAATATCGAGTTAAAGCATAATGACTAGAAATATATGGAAAGGATTTAAGTTTTTTGCCACAAACTCGAATTTTATCATCCCTTTATTTTTGCAGCCTGTTGGTGTAAAGCTTGTATATTTCTAACTTATACTATTTAATCTAACAGAACTCATAGTTTTAAATATCAACGATTTTACGACATCAGGTTGCAAAGATATTGGGATTAGAAAATCTGATTTAGTGGCAAAGACTCAATTCCTTTAGAATTTTATTTGATCTTTGAAAATGACTAAGAACTAAAAAAAAGGATTATTCATAAAGCAAATAATATCTATTTTTGATAAAAAAAAACTTTTGAAAACTAAATTTTATTTTTACAAAAAACCGTAACTATGATTACAAACATTCTTTTACGATTAATTACCCGTCATGATTGGCTGGAAAAATTCAGAGGCGCACACGGGGGGGGGGGGCTAGGACCTAGGAGGCCCAGTCCCCTGGAACAGTAAAATTGATGGTTTCCAGGGGTCTTTGAGGCCTCGACGGGTGCTGCCCCCCCCCTTCCCCTCCTGGAAAGAAAACAAAATAAGCACCCCCCTGAACAAATTCCTGTGTACGCCCCTGGATAAATTGCTACTCGCTTCTGATTGGAGAAAGGAAAAAAACTGTTTTTATAAAGTGAACACTCATTCTTTTTTTACAAGAAGTTAGAACATTTGTGTTTTTAAACTCAGGATTGATCTCCATCATAAGCAGACCCTCTAATTTAGGGATCTATTATTGATCCTCAAAATTTAAAGGGCATGCATTGGATATCGAGATCATTCGTTTAGGATTAAGGATACTCCACACAAAGTTCCGATCTATAGAGGAAAAAGAAAACAAAATAAGCACCCCCCTGGACAAATTCCTGTGTACGCCCCTCGATAAATTTCTACTCGCTTCTGATTGGAGAAAGGAAAAAAACTGTTAAGTCTTTATCAAGTGAACACTCATTCTTTTTTCACAAAAAGGCAGAACATTTGTGTTTTTAATCTCAGGATTAAGCATTGATCTCCATCATTAGCAGACCCTTAGAGGTCTTATATTCCTCTTCTATATCCCGAGGTGGTCATACCCTGCGGGGATAAATCTAGTTTGGGATCAATCATTGATCCTCAAAATTTAAAGGGCATGCAATGGATATCGAGATCAGTCGTTTAGGATTAAGGATACTCCCCACAAAGTTCCGATCTATAGAGGAACAAAATCAAAATACAATTCTTGCACCATTGTATTAATACAAGTGCAGATCACTGTATTATTTTACTTTTAGAATGTAATAACATTTTTAACGCTCCATCACTCTCCTTTTTTACAACAAAGGTTTGATCATCAACAACATCTAATTTACTTACAGAGTTTGTTAACGGAAAAAATGAAAGCATTTATGAATAGATATATAAAAAAGGTAATCTCAGATGATTCAATATTTTTTTATTTTCTTCTGAAATCAAAAGTTTAATTTGAAATGAAACAAATTAAAGTTTCAAATTTAATCCGTAATCCAGGAGTGTTAATCCTCTTCACTTAATTAAGTTGACAATTAGTTGGAGTTTAAAGGGATTGTTTATCTTTTTCAATATACAAATTAAAATACAAATTTTCAATTACTACTGCACAACAAGCCATCATACCGTTCAAAAATGTTCCAGAGTGCCAGAATAATCAATAAGTTTAGTAAAATTAGTAAAAATACACAGGCTGGTTTTTTAAAATTTGTAAAATTGTGTAGATGTAAATTTTTCAAAATGATAAAAAGGAAAAAGGAATTACATTAAAATAAATTGTTTCAATTTAAATGTGTATTATTTTAAAGGTTAAAGAAACTGCTTTTTATATTTCTATAACGCTTAGTAAAATAAATCAATTTTTATAATTAAACTTTTGATTTTTAAAACAAAAAATAAAAAATCACAATATATGCACTATACCGAGAATTCTGTTTTTTAAATTCTGTATTATATATATTTTTTTCTGTACAAGTGTGCCCTTTTTCCTATTATAAATATTTGCGACTTAATCCTATTTTCACGTATTTTGATATTTGATTTCTGAATTTTCTCCTCTTTACCTGAATTCCGATATTTTTAATGCTTTAAATTAACAATTTTAACTTTTAGATGTTGATTCACAAACATTCTCTGTGGGGTCATGTTATTTATCACATAAACATTGGGCTTGATCGGTTCAGCCGTTTTTACGTTTATTGGATACAGACAAGCAAGCCAAAGGAATTGAGTCTTTGTCACAAACTCTGATTTTCTAATCACCTTATATTTGGAAACAAATGTTGTAGACCTTAGATATTTCTAACAATGAATTCTGTTAAATCAAATAATCTGAGTTTGAATTAATATCAAAGGTTTACATAATCGGGTTTTTATAATATAGGGGTTTAAATATTTGAGTTGGTGACTAAGGCTCAATTCCTTTATTTAAAAAATAATTTTTCTGTGTTAGTCAGATTAAGCTTATATTTAAATCATTCAAGGAACACTGTGGTGAAATACCCCCCTAAATTCGTCGTGAACCCTCCCTATCGATCAGATGACCCCACTCCTCTCCTCCCTAATCCCTATCCGATAAAATATTGCTTTGCTTGTTGATTAATCAGTATTTGATCCTGTCTCGTGTAAAAATAATGTTTTTACATCACTTAGCTGTTATTAATTGAACTCCTAATCAATATTCACCGAAATATCAGTTCATCTATCAATGTACAGGAATTAAACACAGAACCCACTCCTCTCCTCCCTAATCCCTATCCGATAAAATATTGCTTTGCTTGTTGATTAATCAGTATTTGATCCTGTCTCGTGTAAAAATAACGTTTTTACATCACTTAGCTGTTATTAATTGAACTCCTAATCAATATTCACCGATATATCAGTTCATCTATCAATGTACAGGAATTAAACACCAATATTTTAACTTCAACCCCCCCCCCCTGGGTAGAAGATATATATTCGCATATTATGCAATTTTTGACATTTCATGAACATAAATAAAAATATGCATTGTGAGATGTTTCATATTTTATAAAGCGCAGAGAATTTGTGGTGCTTCTTAAAGAAACTGCCCTTTTTATGGATTCCTCCATGCAATGAGAGTCCGATTTACAACGGTACTCTTATATCCTTTAGCTAATCAATAATGCGGATGACATTGTTTTTTCTAACTTGGAAAGTTTTTAATTCTAACAATTTTCGCCCTTGTTTCTGTGCAGCTTTAGTTCTTAAGTTAATTTTAATACAGAACCCACAATTGGATATCTTCTTGATAGACATACCACTCTATAAATAAGCTCCTATCCCTATTAATATATTTAGGCTGTTAGTGCTGGTAACAATAAAGCAAGGGTTGACACGAATACAGAAACAAGTTAAACGAATTCTTGTTTTGATGCCCCCCATCTCACAGCCACCCAGTAGACCTAATACATTGGAGAAAAAACAGGTAAGGTTTAAGAAAGGATTAGAAAATGTTTAAGGAAAAAATATAAAAAATTACAATTGTTTTGAGTGGAGTCGATGAAACTTTTTCCAATATTTTAAATTATCTACTTTTAATGATTTTTAATGAACAAAGAGAACAAAAGAAGAAACCTTTTCTAAAAATCTTGATTCTTTTTTATTATTAAGAGCATTTAATTCTTAAGAAAGCTCTTAAAAGCATTTCATTCTGAATAAAGCTTTTTAGTATTGAGGTATTTCAGTTTAAAAAACAGTTAACCCTTAAGAAAGATTTTTAATCTTAAGTTATTTTAGTATAAAAAGTAGTTATTTCTAGAGAAAGCTCCTTAGTCTTAAATTATTTCAGTATGAGAAGCAGTTAACCCTACAGAAAGCTCTTTAATCCTGAATTATTTAAGAATGAGAAGCAGTAATTCCTAAAGAAAGCTCCTTAATCCTGAATTATTTAAGAATGAGAAGCAGTTAATTCTAAAGAAAGTTCCTTAATCCTGAATTATTTAAGAATGAGAAGCAGTAATTCATAAAGAAAGCTCCTTAATCCTGAATTATTTAAGAATTAGAAGCAGTTAATAATAAAGAAAGCTCTTTAATCCTGAATTATTTGAGATTGAGAAGCAGTTAGTTGTAAAGAAACTCCTTAATCTTGAATTATTTAAGAATGAGAAGCAGTTAATTCTAAAGAAGGCTCCTTAATTCTGAATTATTTAAGAATGAGAAGCAGTAATTTATAAAGAAAGCTCCTTAATCCTGAATTATTTAAGAATGAGAAGCAGTTAATAATAAAGAAAGCTCTTTAATCCTGAATTATTCAAGAATAAGAAGCAGTTAATTCTAAAGAAAGCTCTTTAATCTTGAATTATTTAAGAATGAGAAGCAGTTAATACTAAAGAAAGCTCTTTAATCCTGAATTATTTGAGATTGAGAAGCAGTTAATTGTAAAGAAACTCCTTAATCTTGAATTATTTAAGAATGAGAAGCAGTTAATTCTAAAGAAGGCTCCTTAATCCTGAATTATTTAAGAATGAGAAGCAGTAATTTATAAAGAAAGCTCCTTAATCCTGAATTATTTAAGAATGAGAAGCAGTAATTCCTAAAGAAAGCTCTTTAATCTTGAATTATTTAAGAATGAGAAGCAGTTAATAAAGAAAACTCTTAAATCCTGAACTATTCAAGAATAAGAAGCAGTTAATTCTAAAGAAAGCTCTTTAATCTTGAATTATTTAAGAATGAGAAGCAGTTAATCCGAAAGAAAGCTCCTTAATACTGAATTATTAAAGAATGATGAGCAGTTAATTATAAAGAAAGCTCCTTAATCCTCAATTATTAGAGAATGATGAGCAGTTAATTTAAAAGAAACTCCTTAATCCTGAATTATTAAAGAATGATGAGCAGTTAATTCAAAAGAAACTCCTTTATCCTGAATTATTTAAGATTGAGAAGCAGTTAATTCTAAAAAAAGCTCCGTAATCTTGAATTATTAAAGAATGAAAAGCAGTTAATTCTAAAAAAAGCTCCGTAATCCTGAATTATTTAAGAATGAGAAGCAGTTAATCCTAAAGAAAGCTCCTAATGGTGACTGTGCAAAGCATCGTGACAATGAATCTGGAGGATATAAACTGGTGGATAATGGTCTACGGGATCCCTACAGGGGGGAGAGGGACAGCATCAGGTACAGTGGGACTCATCATACTTTGGAATAGGAAGACGACATTATAGCACTTTTCATTATTTGGTTTTGATGATACCTTTACCAGTGGGTTGAGCATCATCGTAGTAAGTTAAATTATGGAAACCCTAAAAAAAAACTTTTTTGGTTTCTTCAAAATTGGATTTTTTTTTCAAAATGTTTTTAAAGTTTTTAAAGTTTTTACAGTGTTTCCGGTAATGCCGGACACTAATATATATTTCTACATAATCTCTGTATTAGGTTTGAGAAGGAGGAGATAAGGTCCTTGAATCATTTCAGCCTCCACGACAAGATCGAGAGGATGGACTCATTCCCGGAAAGTATGACCGAGGTCACCTGACCGGACCGACCCTTAGGGGTCTCGGGGGTCTATAAATACTCGCCTACTTAAAGTACTTCTAGAGATGTGCTGTAAACAGCTGTTCTGCTGGAACTGTACATAACACTTAGTGTACTGGTGGAGTTGTACTGTAAATAACACTAAGTCTAATGCTGAATCGCTGTACTGTAAATAACACTAAGTGTACTACTTTTAATGTACAGTGTACATAGCACTAAATGTACGGCTTGAAGCACATGTTACGAAGTGTACTACAATTTGAAGTGACAAAGAATGCTACCGTGACAGAACTGAATTTATTTCAATCTGTCTCCTTAAAGAATTTTAAAAGATGTGTGATGTGCCCCTTTAAGTGACGGTTAGAAGCAACTTCAATGTCTCTCTTTAAAGGAGAGTAAATCTACAAAAATTTCGTTATTCTAATGAACAAATAGCGCAAAACGTAATGTTTTGTTGCGGCCTTTATTAAAGTGAATAGATATGTGATTTAATTTCCAAAAAAAAAATAATCTACAGCCTTACAGAATCATATTGTAAGGAAAACCCACCTCAGAGTGTATTAATTTCACCATAAAATGTAAACTTGTTTTAAATAAGATGTAGATGTGGTAATATTTTTACTTTAATAGATGTTTACACATAATTTATTATAATTACATGAAACACGTTAAACTAAAGTAATTTGCACGTCAGATTGAAATCTGACATGTTTTTTAAATATAACTCATCTTATTAAAAATCTGTTTTAGTAGGACAAAATGTGTTTAATTCATATATAAAGTGATATAAAATTTGTTTTCCCATACAGGGACTGTAAAGGAAAATGAAAGGGGGTATAGGCTGAAAGCTAATCACTTCAGTGATCACCTGACTCCATCTGTATCACGTGACTAGCTACTGCACTCTCATTGGTGGAGTTCTGGTGACGTAGTACTGATTAATAAATAATCCTATCAATTATATTTATCAAATTAAAAATAAAAATTGTAAAATAAGAATTGGAGAAAATCTAAGTTACAACTAGGTTTCTCTGGGATATCTTCGTTTTCAGATTGGTTGCGTATTTACTGAATATGATCTGTTTAAACCTAATATTTCTGTACAAAATTGTATATATATGAATTTTCGTATAAATTTGAAACAGTTTTATACCAATTTCTCGAGACATGAACATCAGATAGAACTTTCATGGGTTGCGATCAAGAGCTTAAGTGATTATCTATCACCCTATACCCCATTTCATTTTTCCTTTACAGTCCCTTTAAGCGTTAAATCAAATCTAGAGGAAGAGGAGTTACAAAGTTGACCAGTAATATCGCGTACATTTCATCTTCTACTCTGTCTATTTCAGTGTGGAATTGATCTTTTAAAAGACTGTTTTGAGTATAAGGCATGATGAGGTCGAAATTTTGTATAAAATAGAGGTAATCTGCATTCGATATCTAGAACAAAAACCACGAAATATCGTTTTTGGTCTCTATTTGGTCAAAATATTCAGCATATTTACCGGTTTTTGGTCTCTATTTGGTCCACATGTTTAGCATATTTACCGGTTGTTGGTCTATATTTGGTCCACATATTTAGCATATTTACCGGTTTTTGGTCTCTATTTGGTCCACATATTTAGCATATTTACCGGTTTTTGGTAAACTCCACGGACCATCTGATTTGGTTTAAGCCTTAAAAGATTTATTTTTCTGAAGCTAGGAATTAACTACCTTTATGTTAAAATCAGGGAATTATTTTTTAAGTTTTTGGGGGAAATTATTTTTGCTGTGAAGAACGTACAGAAGAATATGTATATGAACTGTATCCTCCTGATTACGCATTGTGATATCTCAGAGGATGAAGGGATGAGAAACTTGTCTGTACGTTATGCATCCAGTATACTCCATTACAAGTCTAAATTCATGTACCGTGTACATTAATGTACAAATCGTAATATTATATATGTAATTCTAGCGTACTTCTGTAAAAATCTAAATTTACATTTTACATATTGTGCAGATGTGCAAGTCTAAGTTCATGTACCGTTTCAATGTATACATATGATTTCATTTACCAAACTGCTTTACAAGTCTTAAGTCATGTACCGTGGTTCTGTACAAATATGAATTATTCAACCATACTTCTGTACAAAGTTAAATTCATGTACAGTACTGCTGTATAAACCTTTATTTCTATTTCTGCTAAATAATTCAAAATTTATGTACATGGCTGACTTAAATTCTTGATTACCCTACAATGCTGCTGTACAAGTCTAAATTCATGTACAACTGTTGTACGTCTGAAGTAAAAAACAGAACAATCTATTTAATGCTTCAAACAAACAAACAAAATCAAATGTATTTTCGTCTAGGTGTTCTTTCAAATTTTGGATACATTGGAGTTTTATACTGACTCACCAAGTCATTGAATTTTACTTATATTCCGGAATTCAAATTCAACCCGTGATATATCTATATATATTTGTAATGCATTATATATTTGAATTAGATCTGAAATATATTTGCTAAAATTATTTCTTAAGTCTTTTCCTTATTTGAAATACTCAGAAGGTCCGTCACGCCTTTCACAATCTAATTGGGTCAACTTTCATTTTTAAAACTATTTTTTACACAGAAAAATTCTTTAATATGTATTTCTTACAGAGAGGGAAGGGAAGAGCAGCCTGTAGACTTACTTTCTCACTCTTTCGTATGGAAAAAATATTTGTATTTGAGCGTGAAGTGTGAACATTTTAAAATGTCAGAAAAATTATGTCCTTCCGAAGGGAATAAACATAAAGTTCGTTTTTATTTTTAAAGTCAATATTGTCCAAATATTCAACTTTAACAGATTTCGATATCTCTCTGTTCTCCTAGGTATTCTGATCTGTTCTCCTAGGTATTCTGATATATCTCTCTGTTCTCCCTGGTACCCTGATATCTCTCTGTTCTCCTAGGTATTCTGATATATCTCTCGTTACTCTCTAGTATCCTGATATATCTCTCGGTATTCTCTAGTATCCTGATATCTCTCTGTTCTCCATGGTACCCTGATATCTCTCTGTTCTTCTAGGTATTCTGATATGTCTCTCTGTTCTCCCTGGTATCCTGATACATCTATGTTCTCCTAGGTATTCTGATATATCTCTCGATACTCTTTAGTATCCTGATACATCTATGTTCTCCTAGGTATTCTGATATATCTCTCGATACTCTTTAGTATCCTGATACATCTCTGTTCTCCTAGGTATTCTGATATATCTCTCAATACTCTCTAGTATCCTGATACATCTATGTTTCCTAGGTATTCTGATATATCTCTCGATACTCTTTAGTATCCTGATACATCTATGTTCTCCTAGGTATCTAGATATCTCTCTGTTCTCTCTAGTGCCCTAATATCTCTCTGTTCTCTCTAGTACCCTAATATATCTTTGTTCTCTTTAGTATCCTGGTGCATCTCAATGTTCTCTCTAGTGCCCTGGTCCCTAATATCTCTCTGTTCTTTCTTGTATCCTGATACATATCTCTGTTCTCTTTAGTATCCTGATACATCTCAATGTTATCTCTAGTACCCTAATATCTCAATGTTCTATCTAGTATCCTGATATCTCTCTTTATCCTGATTAATGAATGTATTCTCTGAAACTTCTCTTCCCCACTTTTATAATTAAATAGTTAGGAGAAATTACTTGATATATGTTGGTAGGGCTGGGCTGGGAGCAGAGTTAATGCCTAAAGATCGAACATCAAAAAAAAAATTTTGCCAAAAAGTAGTTGATTGAAAAATATATAAAAATGTAAAAAGCATTCCTTGACAGATTGGAATAAAAATTAAATATCGAGCAATCTAGCGAAAGAGCCAACAAGAGGTCGAGTGATTGTTCGGTGAAAGATCGGTTTTAGGTAAAAAGTAGCAGGATTTCTCACTAACCATGCAATATGTAACGGCCAAATTGTTTTTCAAATATTAATTTTCGTTTAATTCTAATAATGAGTTTTTGTTTGCAAGCCCTCTTACAACATTTAGAAACGTTAACAATCAATAAGAATTTCAACTACCAAAGCAATTTTAAGAATTAGAATTTTTGAATACTTTAATATTTTGGGAAACAAATCATCGCTAACGAAAAGAATTCTTTGCAAACGAACCATTAACGAACGCAAAACGAACGACAAACAAACGATTACCGTTAGTGTGCCGAACAATTTACAGACGACTAATGAAATATATACGAACGATTAACGATCGTTTAATGAACAATTAACGGACAATTAATGAAAGATTAGCAAACGATTAACGAACGTTTAATGATCAATTAACGGACAATTAATGAAAGATTAGCGATTAACTAGCAATCAACGCACGATTTATCAACAGCTAACGAACAAAGCCAATAAGGGGAATAAACTATAAAGAACAGGGATAAAATATAGAAATATGCCCATCACTATAAAATATAGAAATATGCCCATCACTATATAGAACAGGGATAAAATATAGAAATATGCCCATCACTATAAGTTTGTCAGTACAAGAAAAACCTTTTAATACTATATATTAATTAATTTATATCAAAACTGTAATTTAATTCTAAAGTGGAATCAAAGTTTGGATCAAAACAGTCCTTAACTTACAGTCCTGTTTTTTTGTCCTAATTATAGACCTAGGCCCTTTTCCTTCCCCAAGTCCTAGTCCTATAATGAAAATAAACGACACTTTTCTAAGCTTTCAAATTTAATTCTTATTTCGAATTTTAAGCAGATTTTAATAGAAGATTTTTATCAGCAGAACAAATGTTTTAACTCTAATACATGCTATGTTTGCAAAAGAATCGAAGAAAGCAAAGACGAATTTACAAAGAAAAGAATTAAAAGATCAAAAAGAGTAAAAGATATTATCAAACATAAAGGATTACGGCGCGAATTAAAAATATGCTTAAAAATGTCCGTTTTTCATAGAACCTTTATCTCTTTCACACTCCATAAAGCTTTTTATTTTATTTTAACATTACAAATAAATCTATAATTTTTATTTCTTAAAGTTGTTAATTCATCGTCAAAAAATACTAACAATCCACCACCAATTTATATTAAATATAGTGTAAACAATAAACATGTAATTAACTTTCCTTATCCTTTCCTTTTCCTTTTATTCCTATGTTTATATTTTTTTATAATTGGGTGGAAATATTCCCACAACCTCTACTTTTAGAGGTTTTTAAATATTTTCTCCTGTGCAGTTAATTTTGTATGTTTTTGTTATATTTCATAAATA